AGAGTATCAACAAGAGAAATACGGAAGGATAGGGTAAGAGAGGCCCATGAAGTGCAGGTGGAGGAGGCGGGGCCCCTTGCCCGAGGTGGAAGCCGGCCACGAGCGGTTCCTGGACAGGATGCCAAGGGACACCACCAGCTGACAGGTGGCTTTAGACTGGCTGTTGCTGCCGCTTCCAGCACTGTCAGTACCACCACTTTGACGCCGCCATCAACAATAGCAGCTATCATGTATTAAGCCATTATTTCAGGCCAAGAGATTTACTCACCTAATCTTACTTAATCAGCCTTAAAACTGTATGAGGTAAGTATTATTGCTTCTATTTATAGGGGAAGAAACAGGTTTAGAGAAACCAAGTGACTTGCCTACCGTCATCCAGCTGGGAGTATCTGACTCCAGCCGCTGTGCTATACTGACTCCTTTAGCCTTTTTTTCCATAATTGCTCATTGGAGATAGTTTTATACTCTAACCCCTAAAGAACGCTTTTCAAATTGTAAGTCACGGTACGTAAGGGGGTTGTAAAATGGATTTAGTAAATAAAAAAGGATAGGAAAAAACAGAAAATATCAGAATTCATCACACTTAACTGTCCTGAAACTTTTGTTTCTGGTATGCATGTGTGTGTGCGTGTGTCTGTGTATTTATACATGTGTACACGTACTAGTGAAATGTTACCTGGGAGAATGTATTTCCTACCATGGGTCACTGTCAGGAAGTTTGAGAGCTGCTGTCCTAGGGTGATTACAAAGAGCAAATAAACGTTAAAAACTTGTTGCAGAGCGCTTTGTAGACTCTGAACCACCTTACAAGTTTGCGTTATCATTATTTGACCTTGGAAACTGAAGCGAACAAGTAAAGAATGGCAGATAAGCATTGCTGTGCTATTACTCCCCCTGTCCCGTCGATCGCAGATAGTGCTAATCGGACTGTGCACGGGAGCCCGGGCTCAGCTCTGACACTCCTGACACCACGCTCTAGGCCTCAAGAGGGAAAGCTGTTAGCAGACTGGGCAATAGGCTGTGCACTGTTGGAGCACATCAGGGCCAGCGCAGGGTTATCAGGTACTGCTTAGCACTTGCACAGTTCCGGCTCTCACCTAAAGGCTGGGAAAACAGATGTGACCCCTAAGGCAGCCGGGGGAGTCTCTGTCTGAAAAGCCCCGAAACGGGTGGCTGCTGTCCCCTCTCCTCAGAGCAGTCCTCACTACCACCCTCCCCTGGAAGTGATTTGCCCCCTGCTTCTCAGAGGGTATCAGACCAATCCAGAGGCCCTATCCATTTTTCCTTGACACGGAGGTGGCAGGAGGCCCTCTGCCAGGGCCATTTTCCTTGGAACATGCTCTTTCCACATGAATTGCAATTCTTGAGGGACTACAGGGAACAGGAAGTGCCAGTCCCCCAACAACGGCCCTGAAGGCATGCCCCTCAGGAGATGCACCCCTTGCTTCTCAGCTGATATAGCACACTCTTAAAGGTCACTGGAGGAACTGGGCCCACCCCGCTGCCTGCCCCCAGGCACCCAGATTCAAATTAGCTTGTGGGACTCTTTCTCTGCAACCTGCAAAGGATGCCTGTAGAATGGGCAGTTCTCTTAGAAAGCACGGCAGGGGAGTCCCTGCAGACCCAGGGATCTCAGGGGCAGGCCAAAGGTGCCTTCAGCGGAACGTGTGATACACGGGGAACTTTGTGTATGGATCATAAGTCAAGACTCGACCTGACCTCCTGGACTGTAGGAGGAAGAGCTCAGGCAGCTGGATTACCGATCCGGAAGGCAGGCTCTGGCTTGCTGTTTAACAGCCCTCCCAGGGGACGGGTCCCGTGGCCTCTGCTGTGCTGAGCTGAGCTCTCCAGCGCTCTGCCAGCCTGCCTCCCACGCATCTCCACGTTCATCAGCTGTAATGGATGGCTGGTGCCAGCAGAGGCTGAAGTCTAGGCCATAGAGATCTCAAGCCATTAATAATTCACTCTAGAGTAATGAACATAGCTGTACCAAGTCAAGAGCAGTAATAATCAAGTGACAGATCAATTTATTACTTCATTGTGTCAAAAGATAATGGGAGTCGTGAAAGGTGCAGCTTTCTCCCCAAAAGTTTCATAAGACTTAGATCAATGTGTTTTTATAAGTTCTAAAATACAATGGATCATTAAAAAGGAAATGAATTATGTTGGGTAGCCACAAGCCTATTTGTATTCAGAGTTGCTTATCCAAAATTACTGTACCTTTTTTCCAAATGCCTTTAGGCATTGGGGCTTGCAAATCAGAGTAATTATTGCTCATTAATTAAGTCTAAGAGATGGAACACAGCTCTAGACTTTGAAAAGGCAGGTTGGAATAGCTGAGATGCATTCCCCCCAAAATCATTAATAATTGAGGTTTTATGAGTAAGTAGCTTGGTTGAGAATAACTGTTTAATGTCTACACAGAAACTCCCATCTTTTAACACCTCAGTGAACCACTCATGCTTCTTCTGAGCCAGGCACTGTGCTCGGTGCTGGTGTTACCAGCTAAACTAGGCACAGTCTCTTCTAAGGCGGCAGTGGAGGTGTTAGCACCATGCAGTAAACACAGGAGCTGGCCAGCACTTCTGCTGTCCTTGCGGGGTGGAGGCCTGGGAGCAGAGGCTGCAGAAAGGACGGGAGCCGTGTGAGCTGTGCCTTGCAGATGGACGTTTGCCAGGCAAAGAGAGACGAGTAAGTGAACATTCTGGGCAGAGGAATGACACAGGCAGATAGGTGTGAAAGTGGATAGAAGATGGATAATGAATTGTAATTACAATGATCACTACATTCCCCACATTTAATGTGCACAGCAACCTCATGAGGTACATATATAGTATTCACCCTACCCTACACGGTTTTCTTCTTTTAAAGATGAGAAACCCAAAGTTTAGATATACTGAATCACTTGTCCAGGGACCAAGAACTGGGATGGCAGAGGAGGGTTTAGAGGTGAGCTGGGAAAAGGTATGCTATTTCCTGAAAGTTTGAACTTTATATTAAAAAAAGTAGAGCCCACCAAGGGTTTATAATCATCATCAGAACAATCAACAATGGAGGCCTTGCTGAACACCTTATGTGCGCTGTGTCGTTGCGTTCTCCCCTTACCACCCGGGGAGACGTGTGAGGCCATGGTAGTTTTCAGCAGAGGGATGGCTCTATTGGAGTGAAGTTTTAAACCCTAACAGGCAGGGTAAAGCTGAACCTGCAGTTCTAGTCCGGGAGCCCAGTTAGGAGGCCACTGCTTCAGTCAGAAGTGGTGTTCAGAAGCATGATGGTGAAAAATGATCATCCTCCAAACCATATATTTTTATGCTGGTCTACAATTTAGAAGTGCTTTCATACATAAATAGCTTGTTGATTCATTTGCACAAGGGACTGTCGTGTCAAGAGCTACTGACTTAGTCCTTTTGTGGGGTGAAGGACAAGGGCATGGGATTCACTTCCTGTGCACAGAAGCGCGGCAGCTGAAAGTCGTGGTACAAGCAGCTTGGAGACATGCATGCTTGCCGACCAGAGCGCAAAACCAGTCTGTCTTTGCCCCTTGCCAGGTGAGAACTTGACCATCAGCATTCACACTTTCAGACTAGGAACAATGTCCACTTCTGGGTAGAATGGAAAACTATAAGTGAAATCAGGAGATTCGGCTTAAACTCAAAAAATGTTAAATCATTCTTATATGAACCAGAAACAGGCCAGGCTATCAGGGATTGGAAAGCAAATTCTCTTCCTAACGGGGTGTCCCACAGTTAAAGTTTCCTAGACCTAATCACCCCATGGCCCTTTCAGAGGAGAAGATTTTATGAAATTAGACTTGGAGCCCTAGGAAATTACAAAAGAGTGCACATTGGATAAAATTGGTTGATACAGTTTTGTAGCCAAGGTTCAGTTTCAAAACCAGCACTTGAGGCAGTAGAGTCTCTCTCTTCTACCTACAAAATAGAAGTATCCAAGGAGAACAGTGCAGGCATTTACAGAATCGTGTGAAAAAATACTCAGTATAAATAGCCCTAAATGCTAGGGAGGTATGTCTGTGCAAACTGCCGTCCCTGCCCACTTTGTCTCTAGTTTCTAGTAATGAATAGTTTCCTTTTTCTAACAGGTGATTTAGGGAAGCCCTCAGTATTTTCTTAACAGTGCTGAATGGTCTTAACTTTTAACCTACTTGTTGTCAATAGATAATTTGTATACTTTTATACACAGGGCCAGCAGATAAACAATTGCATTTTATGGCTAGGTCATAGTGGCCTGGGTGTGGAGTTCAGAGATATGTTTTGAGAGGTTGTTTATCCAAAAATAGGCATTTGTATTTAGCAGAATACTCAGACCCAGCTACCACTGACCCTGTGTATTCCTTAGACTTTGAATATAACTGACAATATATAGTCATGTACCTAGATATACATAGTGTGCATTTTTATTGCTGTTTATGCCAAATGTTTCACTTAATGTAAGCCACTTGTTTAATGTGATAAACTTTTTAATACTTCGAGCCTGAAGTGCTGAATTTCCTAAGATCTACCCATTTTAAAAATTAGGTCTCTTTTATGCCTATGTTTGCAAATGTATTAACACTGTCAAGAGTTTTTCTATTTGCGTGAGAGAAAACACTAATACCACTGGTTTAAGCAGCAGCCAAGTATAAAAATGGTAACTAAGAGGGTTTCCCTGTTACTGGATTTGCAGAAAAGGGATTCAGACGTGCAAAGCTCACATTTCGGGGGGCAGCTGCTCTGGTTGGGTGGTGGTTTTAGACAAAATGGAAATGGTGAGGAGTGTCATACCCAGAAACAGCAAAATCCTGAATACTGAAGATTTCTGAAACTGAGAAGACGACGAAAACCTGAGTAGAAAAGTCTCTTGGGACTCCAGAGGCACCCGGAGCTCTCCCGAGGTCTGACTTCTACCACAGGAGGAAACTAAAGATAGGAAGGGTCTGGAGGCCAGCTGTCCCCTGTCCACGGTTTTCTCTCATTTGCATCTGTTCCTTTGCTTCCTCGCAGTGTTGCAAACAACCATAAGCAGAATTTGATGACGGTGGCAAACCTTGGCGTGGTGTTTGGCCCCACCCTGCTGCGTCCACAGGAAGAAACCGTCGCTGCCATCATGGACATCAAATTCCAGAACATCGTCATTGAAATCCTGATAGAAAACCACGAGAAGGTACTAAGTCACCAGTGACTGTGAGGGAGGAGCTTGGGAAGCTGGGTTGGGATTGGCCTTCAGGAGGGACTCGGGTTTGCGTTGCGAATGGCTCCTGCGCCCAATGGGGTGAGCCAAGGTGCCGGCCGTGCTGGGCGTGCTTGTGGCGGTGGTCATCTTGTGATGGCAGCAGGGGCGCAGTGGTGGCTGTGGTGGCAGGAGAGGCGGGCGATATTTATCGAGCATTTCTTCTTTACCAGGCAGGAAACGTGCCAAGCACTTCATATATGTTGGCCTTTTATCCTCGCAACAGTCCAGTGAAGAAGGTTCTCTTATAAACCTCATCTTGAAAATGTCCCTTTCCTTTTGTTTTACTTGGTGTTCTTCTTGTGAAGACATGAGTTTTTTTCTATTTTAGAAAAATAACCTATTTTCGTCTGTGTTGGAAGTATTTTTCCTAATCTATAGTTTGCCTTCCAATTTTATAAATGGTGTATTTTTTTAATACAGTTCGTGTGTGGGAGTGGGGGTGAGGATCTGTCTTTCCCCTTAGGCTTGGGGTTTCTGGTCTTTCTCAAGCTCCCCCTCACCCTGCATGAGGAAGGACATGAACGCAGGTCCCAGCATCCCTTACAAACCTGAGGTAGGGGACATGTAGCTTCTCGCATCTGCCCCACCTCCGTTCCTACTGGCAAATCCCTGTGAAGCTTCTCAGATCCTGTAGGGTTCCCTGCGGCACCATGGGGCAGCTACAGTGCTGGTCAAAAAATGCTGCTTCTCCTAAATAAAAATGACCTAGAATGGTGAATTAATTGTGCTAGATGACCTGCAAAATAAAGCGAGAGGCAGGCACTGATAATGCGCTACATCAGCCATCATCATCTCCTGTCTGGATTTCACAAGAGCCTCCTAATTTGTTTCCGTGTTCCCACCCCTTGGCCTGTCTATTCTGGTGTCAGTCACCAGAGTGAGATTTTTTTTTTAAATGTTAAGTCAAATCATATCAGTTTTCTGCTAAGAACCATGCAGTGGCTTCCCATTTTACCGAGTGAAAGTCAGAGCCCTTTCAAGAACTGGAAGGCCCTCCATGGCTCCCTTTCCCCTCCGTTACTCACCTCCTCTCAACACCCCCAGCCCTGTCCTTGGGCTCATGCCTGCAGCTGCCCTCACTACCTTCTCTTCCCTGCATGTGCACGTGCACGTCCAAGCCGGTGCAGTTGCTGCTCCCCGTGCCTGGAACACGTCCTCCATAGCTATGTGGCAGACCTCCTCATCTCTTTCAGGCCTTCCGTGTTAGGCCTGCCTAGATCTCTCTAAGACTGCGGAGGTCCCAGCTCAGCATTCCCCTGCCCCTGGGTCCTGCCTTCGCCTTCTCCGTGGCACTCACCACCGTCTAGCACCCCTGTAGTTTATGCACTGAAGAGGTCTGTTGCCTTTCTGACCTCCGCTGGAAGGTATGCTTCATGAATGCAGGGACTCGTGTCTGTTTTGTCCACTGTCCCCAGTTCCACTGTAGGCATTCAGTATGTATGTGTTGGATGAAAAAGTAGGCTCCTGTGGTAGCCAGCCTCCAAGCGGGCACACAGGGGCCCTTGTCTCCTGGTCTTCACTCCCTTGTGTAGTCCCCTCCAGCTGGGAATAGAGACCCCAGTGGGATCACTAGGATATTGTAGAAGTAATGGACGGTGACTTTAGAGACTAGTCATGAAAGACCTTGTGGCATTTACCTCGGTTTCTGGACCTGCTTGTTCTGGGGGAAGCAAGACGTGGTGCTGTGAGGGCAGTGATCCCGTCCTGTGGGGGGAGGAAGCTTCCTGCCGACAGCCGGACTCGGTTGCAGCCGTGTGAGTGAGCCCCTGTGGAAGCAAACCCTCCGGCCCTGACCAAACCTTCAGAGGAGGCAGCGCCAGCCGGCATCCCAAGTGCCACCTCGTGAGGGACCACCAGGCTGAGCCTCTCCTGAACTCCTGACCCACGGAAACTGGGAGAGAGAATGAGTGCTTTAAGCCACTAAGTTTGAGGGGTGACTGCTAATGGAGCGTTGAGAACTCCTGAGGAACCTCTGAATGTAAACTTTCAGAGTTAACAGAGGTGTCCTGGGAGCTGCGTATGCACCAGAGCCTCCCTTTTCCGCGGTTAATGAAGAGACATGAAACCAAGTGATTTGTCTGAAGAAACTATCTTCTCTCCCAAACTTTGGACCTCTGTCCAGCCACCTCCCTCAAACACGGTAAGTCAGGCAGAGAAAAAGCTTATGTTATATATGATGAAAATGAACTTATAAAAAGGGAATATAATTGAACAGCAATTCATAATGTGGTTTATAGAGGACAAACCACTTGGATGCAGATGTGCCATCTCTTACTAGTTGTGTGACCATGAGCAGATTTCTTAACTTCTTTATGCCCATAAAAGTACTTTCAGGACAGTCCAACTGCTGTAACAAACAACCCCAAAATATTAGCACCTCAGGTCAGTAAAAGCTTCCCTCTTGTTCACTGACAGTTCACCTGGGTGTTCGGAGGGTAGCGTCCTGCCGGGCGACTCAGCAGCCCCGGCTCCTTCCAGGCTGTCGCTCTGCGTTTCCGCCCTGCAGAGCTCCACAGTCGGCCCGGTGGACTGGGGAAGATGTATGGACCACGCCCAGAAGAGGCCTTCCTTATTTTTTTCCAAATTCCATTGGCCAGAGCCCAGTCACATGGTGCCATCTAACTGCAGGAGAGTCTGGGAAAGCCAGCTGACTGTGTACTCAGGGCAAAGGGAAACAAGTTCGGTGACCAGCTAGCTGGTGTGCCACATTCCCTCAATCAGTTTGTTCCGAGCATGTAAAGGACTTAGTCAAGAATCTGGCATGTAGTGAAGTTTAGTAAACTATCGCTTTCAGCAGTCTTAACAGAATTCTCTGAAAATAGAGCTCAAGTCCATCTCTGCATGTTGAATTGTCCATCTCCCTAAAATAATCCTTGTTATGACCTAATCTTTTCTTAAGTAAGATCATGGTAAATGTTGAGGGAGATCTCTAAGGAGGAAGTAGTTTATGGTTCATGTCCCGAAAGGGCATATTTGAGCTCACAGCCAGCAGCACCTAAAGGTTTTGAACTGTAACTGCTTTTAGTGTCCTTGGGCCTTCAAACCCAGGAAACATATTCAAAAGTACCATGACAGAAAAAAAGGACTGGATGCTGTTAATAACATATTGAAACTTGTGTATAAACAAGCAGCCATCCTGCCTTGGGCACAAACTGTAGAAATAGACATGAAATATGAAATGCATGGCCAGACCTGTAAGTGTGTGAGCAGATCTGGTGAGAACACGCACTGGTTCGGTGGATCATAGACCATGTCATCACTCCCTGCGGTGTGTCTGGTGACGTACGCATCAGAAGAGTATCGCGGTGCTTCGTTTATGTTACCTGTCATTAGTCTATGCTGAAGAGTGGGGTGATCACGGTGAGATGTCTGTTCCTGTGGGAACCCATGGAGGCACACAACTGAGAGCGTCCCTGGGGGAAGGCTGTGCCAGGGCACGTGGCTCCAGTCCCGAGGGAGCTAGTGTACCAGCTCGACACAGGGTTCTAATCTGGGGTCCTGGATAAGCCTGAGTTGTGTGCAAGTCCTGTATGCTTACATTGTTCTGTGAGAAAGTCTTTAAAAAATGTCAGGTTTGCCTTTGTGGTAAAAACAAGTGACAGGCAGCTCGACTCCTCTTTAAATGTGGCCGCAGGCCTGGTCTGGTACAGGGTCAGCAGAAGCTGCCCCCGCCCTCTTCGGAGAGCCGTGAGGTACACCTCCAGGAATCCTCAGCACTCACGGCCGTGCTCTGGCCCTGGCTTTCTGGAGGCAACTTTGGATGACTTGCCTGCCGAAGAACTCAACTTTCACCGTCAAGTCCAGAGCATTTTTATGTCTTCAGATGAATATTGTCAGAGACTTGTTCTTTAAAATCCACAATATTAAGATCTTATGTAGTATCTTAGTTAACAGTATTTAATGAGCATTCCCTTAGGTTTGGCTATAATTTTCTAGAAACACACACACACACACACACACACACACACACACACACACACACACACGTCCATGAGTGGCTACTTTTCTAGCTTTAATGTCAGAAGTCGGACAAAATTTGAAACCCCACCCACTTGAAGGACTGCTTTCCAACAGCATCTACTCACCCTGTCCTCCAAGAAGCATATGCCCTCTTGCTTGAAATAAGCCATAGTATAGTTCTTAAACATATGTAACCCAGAGTTATTAGCATAATCTTCTCCCATCTTGTTAAGAACAGTTTATAGAAGGTGTTTACTTTGGCCTTGGAATAAAATTGGGAGGAGCCTAGGAGTAAGTAGAATACTGTACTCAGAGAGGGTAAAGGAACTCAGGCCTCTAGCCGTTGGAGCCACTCGGAGACAGAGACACACACACACACAGAGAGAGAGAGAGAGAGAGAGAGAGAGAGAGAGCGCCAGCCATGAGATGCTTGTCTCAGTTATCTACTGCTTCATATCAGATCATCTCCAAACCTAGTAACTTAAAAACAGCAATGATTTTTTTGCTCACAATTCTGTGTGGCAGAAATTTGGGGAAGGCTCCTTTGTGTCCCATGTGGTACCAGATGGGGGTGGTTTGACTACAGCTGAAGGAGCCAAGTGGCCTTACTGCACGTGCTGGGGGCCGTGGTGCTAGCTGCTGGCTGGGACACCGGTGGCCCCCTCCATGTGTCCTCGCCTTCTCTGTGATCCCTCACCATCCACCTGCTGGGCCAGACTTTCAGGAGGGCAAACACAGAGGCTGCAACACCATTTAAGGCCCAGGCTTAGAATAGACAAAGTATCACTTTAGCCGTGTCTGTTTGTCAAAGCAAGTCACACATCCAGCCAGACAGAGGGGCAGGAACTAGAAGCCCCCCTGGACCGCAGGCGTGGTGTGCACGTGGAGGCGTGGGCTGCCGTCTTTGCAGGTAGTCTGGCACATGCCTCACTCCGCGTGCTGGCCGGCTTACACTGAGTTCCCCTGCGAGAAGACTTTACTTTCTTATTAGTGGCTTGCACTAAACACAGGCAACTCCTCAGCATTTCCTACAGAAAGTTTCTCCTCGGCACTTCCATCTGTTATGCAACCAGAAAGCGTCAAATATTTGGAGGACAAGTTCAGTCCTCAGATACCCTTTGTAAGCCTCATCAGTGTCTACAATGGGGAAAACATCTTTGTCTTTAAAATCGACATTTAAAAGCAGGGGGGCAGTGGAGGGGATGCTTACTAGCCAGAAAATTCAGTTTCTTTGATCTGATGAAACATCTTTTTTCAAGAGAAAGAGGCTTCTGTGTTTTAACTGGCTGAAGCCAATGGCTGCCTCTCCCCCTCCTCCCCTTCTCTCTTTCCTCCCCACTCCTTGTTTACTAAGGATTAATACTAGATGTTTAGGCCAAGGATTAAAAACAAAGATGGACTCCTTTCTGTTATCACTGGCACATCGACACCCCCGCCCCCAAGACAGCACCTGTCTGTCCAGAAGCGCCCCCTGCCAAGGGCCTCTTCACAGGGACTCACCTGTCCTCCTGTGCGGGAGCCTTAGTGACGTGTCGCACAGGCCTTCAGTTTGGTCACATGAAGCGCACTAACCACATGCTTACCCTGTCTCGTGCTCCAGAAACTGTGTCCTTCGCCTCCCCCAACAGACCCTGGGAGGAGAGAAATGTTCGGAACCATTGTAGGAAATAAATATCCCAGAGTAAGTAGATGGAGAGAGGAAAACCCAGAAGATACGAAGTGTGTTTGGGAGCTCAGGGTGATTTCCTTTCTCCATGAGGGTGATACGTACTGATTTATTCACTCAGATGAAGGTAATGGATCTTTTTAATGTACATTGTCTAGCTGTAATAATAATAGTAATAGTAATTACTAACTATTATAGCTTATTGTCCACAAGATACTGTGGTAAGCAGCTTTATGTACAGCATATCATTTAGTTTTCATAGCAACACTATAAAGTCAATGTTTTTAGTTCATATTTTACAAATTATGAGCCAAAATTGGCTATAGGAGGTGGAGTAAGGTCCTAATGGCTTTTATTTGGTTCTTCTTGCCAGACTTCCTAAAGGGAGTTATAGCTCATGGCATACAAATGATGCGGTGCAGAGAGTTTGAGAAGCAGCTTGCTAGGAGGGGAACAGGGCTGAACCTGGGACTGCTTTCCGACCAAAGCTATTAAATCTTTTCCAGTTAATCTCTGATCAGTGAATTTATTAAGCATCCACTATTGGCTAAAGACAAATAAGACAGGACCGTCTTCCCAGGGCCCTCCCCTTTCATCGGGCGTACCTGACCACGGCACACGTGTGCTGAGTGACATCCCAGAAGGTGAATGAAGTGATGGCATCACTGAGGAGAAATAATTCTGCTGGTCCTGGGTTCTGGTGGATAAACGCACATTTCCTAGGAGACAGGAGGGGCAGCCTTCCAGGGGGAATATTAATCAGTCAACATTAATCAGTTATGTGTGTTAAAATGATATGGTTGTAAAAGGGCTGTGGGTTAAATATTAACAAGAGGTGGGAGATGATGCGATGCAGTTGGATTTAGCCCGTTTGGCCAGGGTCTTGAATCTATGGAAAAGGTTTTGCATTTACTCCTGAAAAACTGGAGCTTTCAGAGGTTTCTAGGCAGAGAGGTAAGATGATTATATCAGCACTTTAGAAAGACATCCCTGGAAACTGAACCAAACTGTTCTCTGATTATTGATATTGAAACCTCTCATTAAATAAATAACAAAACCATAGCATTGATCATACTGTTGTAACTTGTGGCTGTATATATATTAAAACAGTCTTGCAGGGCAACCTTTGACCTACAGCCTTCACTCACGATAGGATGGAGGAAGATCCTAATGGCTTTTATTTAGTTCTTCTTGCCAGATTTCCTACAACTAGCTCATAGCATCATTTCCCATCAATGACTCCAAACCCTGGACTCTTCTTGGATTATATGAGAGCCAAAGAAAAGCAAATGTGAGAATCTGGCTCTTTTTACTTGTAGTTAGATTTCAGAGTTGAAAGATCAGAGAGCAAACCATTTGGCGTCTTCCATGCTTGCCTTAGGTTAACAGCCAATTATTTAAAATTACTGTATCTGGGTGGATTCAATTTTTTTTCCCAGCTCACAACTTATCACCCTGAGCCTTAAAACATCAAGTAGGCCAATACTGGGGATCATAATGGGAGTCACAAGTGTTTATATGCTTCTAGTTAAGATTTTTAAACAAAACAAAATATTGAATGCTGTCATTGTCCAGGATACCCCAAAGCCCAGAAACTGTTATTTTTTACAAGGTTTTCCTTTTTGTTTTTTTAAAAATTCACTTGCTGATGACTGTGAATAATTTAGCTGTCTAGGAAGAACAACCTTATTAAGCAAACAAACTGCCTTCTCTTCATAGTTTTGATTAAACATAAAATTTTTACATCTCCCTGTATTCCAACATAATAGTAGAATTGGACCTGCTTTTTCTGTAACAGTGCTCGATATTTCTTTTGGCTGCGGCCCTTGAAGGGGTTTCTGCACATGAGGCGGGACATGGGTGTACACACGTGCCTGTGCACCACAAGCTTTTATCAGTATTGCCCCTCTTAATGCCTACTGACG